ATCCAATCACCACACTCGGACTACGTTGGCTGAGTAAGAGGGTTGTCCTAACACATCATACTGAAATCTCCTTGGTTGATTGTGACAGCTGATGACTGAAGTACAGTGTCAGCTGTAGTCTGAGCAGCTGTAGTTTGGTTTGTCTCATGCTGACTTTCTTTAGAGTTTTCTTCTAACGCTAGTCTCTGAATGTCTGATCTCCTTTTCAGTATGGGTCTCGGTATCATCCCCGCTGTAAGTTTCCCATGATCGTTCATCATGGTCAAACTGTTCGTACTCTTCATCATTTGACAAATCTTCGTTGTCAACAGTAGTAGCACCATTGTCTACTTCAGGCATAACTACTATTTCCTGACTGTCCTGGACACCACTGACCACACAGGTTGGTAGGTTGTCGAAGTCATCGTCATCCTCACTTTCAGAGTCCACATTAGGTTCAAACCTAATTTCTCTATTCTGTCTTCTATTTCTGTTTGTTTGTTTTCTGTTGCTCCGTTGTACTGGTTCTAACTGAACTGGTAGGCTGTTGCAGGGCATCAACATATTTCTATGTAGTGTTCGCTGTTTCCCCGATCCTTGTGCAGGCTTTACCTCATATACCGGAAGATCGTCACCCAACCTCTTGACAACTTGGTAAATATCTTCCTCCCAGTAGGACCGTAGCTTTCCTGGACCTCCCCGCTCCTTATAGTTTCTTACCAGAACTCTATCGCCTGGCTCTAATATGGCACTAACACCCTTCATATCATGCGCCTGTTTAGCTTTGTTAGATTTTGCTTCTGTCTTCTCAGACACATTTCTGTAGACTTCAGTCATGCAATTTTTCCATCTTTGCACATAGTTTTTCGTGTCGGTATCAGACACGGTTTGTTCAGTCTTGAACATCAAGTCGATAGGAAGTTGTGGGTGCCTTCCAAAGAGTAAGTAAAATGGTGAGTAGCCTGTCGTGTCGTGCAGGGTACAATTATAAGCATGAATTACTTTGTTCAGGTGACTCTTCCAATCATGCTTGTGTTGGTCTAGCAGCGTTCGTAACATGGAGAGCAAGGTACGATTGAACCTTTCCACTTGTCCATTTCCCTGGGGATGGTAGGGTGTGGTTCTCGATTTTGCAATACCAGCATACTTCTGGAGTTGATTGAAAAGTTCGTTTTCAAACTCTCGACCTTGGTCATGGTGAAGACGTGATGGGAATCCAAATTTCAAGAAGAAGTCATTGAACAGCTTATCTGCAGCAGTTCTCGCAGATTTGTTTGTGGTTGCATATGCCTGTGCGTATCTGGTATAATGGTCCATTACCACCAGTATGTATTCATATCCACCCTTTGATTGCTCTAGATGCAGGAAATCAATGGAGATGAGTTCAAAAGGTGAGGTAGTCACAATAGGTTTCAGAGGTGCAGAGATTTGTTTCACTGGTCTCTTGTCTTTTTAGACAAGTGCATTCTTCTGTTACATAACGTTCAATGTCCTGCGACATGTGTGGCCAAAAGAAGCGATCTCTAGCCAGTGCCACAACACGATCAGTGCCCAAATGACCCATGTTGTCGTGAAGTTCCTGAAGCACTAGCTTCTTATACTTTTTTGGCATAACAATCTGTGATTTGGATTTGCCTCCTGGCCGATGAGTTTTTCTGCACAAAATGTCATCTTCATTTAAGTACAACTTTCTCCATTCATGTTCTAAGGCTCTTGCCTCTGGTGATTCCTCCCTTTCTCTCAAATCTCATAGGTTTTCTGTTTTTCTTGACATACTCCCTAACTCTTCGGATACCAACATCCTCCTCTTGTGCCCTTCTTAACTCATCAATGTCAATAGGGTTTACCACTGCGATACTCTCGCTCAACTCCTTTTCTACAGTTCTTACACTAGTACCAAACGCAGAGGCCCACTCACAGTCAGCAACAAAAGAAGCTGTGATGGGTTTGCATACAGTCTCTAAGATGTTAGGAGATAGTTCTTCAGTGCTGTCACAGATCACTTGATCGATATCCAGAGGCATACGAGATCACCCATCTGCATCTCCATTTGTTGGTCCTGGCTTGTAGGGAATAGTGAAGTTGTATTCGGCTAACTCTGATACCCATCTGTGCCGAGTGCAGTCAAGTCTTGCTGATGTCAGTATGTATGTTAATGGGTTGTTGTCCGTAAAAACTTTGAAAGAAGGAGCATAGTAAAGGTAATCTCGAAACCTGTCTGTTATGGTCCATTTCAAAGCGAGGAACTCCAACTTCCCGGAGTGCAGGTGATAATTCTTCTCTGCTGGGCTTAATGTCCTAGATCCATATGCACAACTGCCTCAAGTTGTCCTTGCTGTTGGTACAGTATCCCCTAAACCTTCTTTGCTAAGCATCAACATGAAGGATGAATGGCTGATTATAGTCAGGGTAAGCCATTATTTTCTCTGTAACCAGAAAATCCACAAGTTCACTCAACTGTTGTTTGATGAACTGGCTCCCAACGAATATGTTGATTACTCAGAGCTTGTCCATGTGTCCCTTTTGTTCTTGTCTTAGACTTTCAGAGTCCTTTTGTAAATTTTAGAAGGTCATATTACAGGCTTGGCACGACGTGCGCAAAGTCAGGATGTATTTCCTATAATAACCCAAGAATCCCAGTAACTGCCTTACATCTCCAACAGTACGCTGTTCCTTGCTCTTTCAGGTTCAGGACTGCTTTTTTGTCTGCAGGATCCATTTTGTATCCCTCGGCAGAAACCAGATGTCCAAGGTAACGGACTTCCTTTTTGAAGAACTCACATTTCCGCAGTTTTAGCTTTATACCCTTTGAAACTAGTCTCTTCAACACTGATCTGAGATGCTGTACATGGTCTTCAAAACTTTTGCTGAACACCAGAATATCATCTAAGTAGGGTAGACATATTTCGTCTCTCAGGCCATCAAGGCACTCTTCCATGAAGCGCTGAAAACATCCTGGTGCTTGGGCTATTCCAAAAGGTATTCGATTCCACTCGTACAATCCCCAAGGTGTAATGAATGCTGTCAAATGACGATCCTTTTCCCGGACATAACCCTGATGGTATGTTTTTCCCCTGATCCAGAAGGGTGAACCATCCATTTCTCTCAGAGTGTTGAGGGAATCTTGAATCCTGGTAGTATTGGTTGCCTGCCCACAAAACTTTGACGATTAATCTGCCTGTAATCTACACATAAGCGTAGGCTGCCATCCCGTTTGCGCACACACACCACTGGACTGGAATAAGAAGACAACGACTTTGAAATCCACCTTTTTCTGATCAAATCAGTTACATAGTCTTTCACTTCCTTGTGTAGAGGTGGTGGAATAGACATGTACGTTTTCTTCACAGGGGTATTGTCTTTCAGATTAATCTCTAACTCCAGGTCAGGAACATTTCCAACGTCATCATCTGATTTTGAAAATACCTTACAGTTTTCACGGAGAACACTCCGGACTTGCTCCTGCTGACTCTCATCTAAATGGTCTAAGCTGACTGGCGGATCCCACAATTCTGTTTCCCAAATTGATGACACTGAACACTGCTCAACCTCATCCAGATGTTCATCTCTAGGCACCAGAGGCACTACAGACTGTATGGGCTGGATTTCTCCAAGCGTAGTTCTCCCGTAAATAATCACATCCCTATCACTTGGGTTGCTCACTATAATGTTCACATTACCAGCCAATGTCTTTGGCAACAACACTAAAGTTTCACAAAGTTCCCATGATTCTTGTAATGATTCAGGATATGGTACAAAGAGTCCTTGATCAGTCACTTCGCGACAATCTAACTCTACATTTCAAGATCACATTACTTCTCTTTTGGCACAATAACATTCTTTTACCAGTCTTTATAGAACATAGTGGTGAATAATCCCCCTTTAACAATCGTACAACAGTGGATGCACCTGTGGCAGTAACGCAAGTGATGGTAGACTTCACCATTTCAACCGAGTCAGATTGTCTAATATCTGAAAGGTAAACCTTAATTACGTTAAATCCAATCAATGGTTGTGTCACATCATCTGCATCTGTAACTAGAAAGGGTATGGTTAGCACATGGGTATCATCTAACTTCATCTTAAAATCAATAGCTGCATACCCTGAGTATGGAACCGTACTGCTACTAAGTCCTGACACATTCAAATCACAATTAACTAGATCAGATATAGGTTTAACCGGAATGTTTGGAAAATTGTCCTTGAGCCACGAGTCTTTAACGAGGCTAACCTGTGCACACGTGTCCCATAGGACTTTTGTAGGAGAGTCATTGAGGAAAACGTCCATCTCACAAACTTGACCTACGAGGTCAACCATTGTTTTCTTTTGCTTAGGTGGGAGAAAGTGCCCATCCCCTGCAACCTTCCCACGCCTCTTCCCCGCGAGGTCAAGTCAGGACTGTGATCTGTCATCAGAGCACTGAGATGCAACTTTCCTGATTGCTTTACAAACGTACCTATGTTGTTTCCAGTGTCTCTCCTGGCACTTGGTAGAGCAGTAAAGGTAGTATGACAACCTGAACAAACAGACAACTTTCTTCACTTCCTGTGCACATGCTACACAACGCTGATCTCGCCTCAGACTGGCTGGGTCACTCCAGGTCCCTTGTCTGGAGTGACCTTCGCCCGCTTCCCCTGTCCTGCTCTCTGCAGCCAATGGCATTAAATGGTTCTCACTACCACACTTGAAGCAGTGACTGCATTTGTCCCCTCCTTGCAGTTTGGACACCATCTTGGTCGACGCTAGTTGATGAGTCTCCCGCTTCCCCGGTCTCAGCTTCTCCTTAAAGCCGCTATTTCCCACTCTTAACTTGTCAACTTCATCCCACCAGCACCATTGGAGGAGGTTTGGACCTTGTTCACCTTGCTCTGGTTTGTTTTCTTGGATGTCTTGTGACTTTTCGCTTCTATCAACTAGTAGTTTTCCAAGTCTCTCAATAAGTTCTCATCAGTGGCTTCCTCCTTGCATTCAGTAAAGCGCCTCATCTCCAAGTGAAGTGCTTCATCTGTGAACTGAGATCAAAGACTGGATGAACATTCCTTGTACAAGGGAATTTCCACTATGTGCATTATCGCTGGCAGCCACAGTTGCCTTCTGTTTCAGTTCCAAGGCCCTCAGCAGGTACGTTTGGGGATCTTCGTTTGGTTTCTGCACTAACCGTCCTAATTCTGCATATAAATCGGAAATGCTACTCTCTTTTTAGTGGGACCTGAGAATGCATTGTAGGTTGGCAAGAGTCATATCACCACGTCCATCAAGGTAGTGTCTGAGGGAACTGGTGTGTTCTACTACCCTGATAACCCCATCGATCACCTCCCTTTTTGTATAGCCCTTCTCAAGGCCTGCTGTGATCTGTCTCTGGAGACTGGTAAAACTTAACCCTGTTCCCTTTTCTAAAATGTGTCCTCCCACAATCTTGAAACCTCTTCTCCATGCTTGCCCATATGGTCCTACTGTGGCTTGGTCATCTTTCTGTGGTGGTACAGTGCTCTGACTCACTTCATCTTGGAATCTTGAAGCCTCTTCTAGGATCCTACTACCCACAGCTCTGCCTTTGTCTTCTTCCTTAATCGCATCAGCAATGCAATCCTCTAAGATAACAAACAGCTCATTTCTTGACTTTTCCCTCAGGTCTGGGACGTTAAGTTGTAACGCCTTAATGAGAAGTCTCAGTCGTTCAACTGGTAGGTTGTAGAGTACTCCCTTGCATTTGTAGATTGCTTCATCCGCCATGGTGTTGATGAGTCTTCCGTCAGCAGGACCAGTTGTTGATTTCAGCAGTCAAACCATCTCACACTCTTATCTTCTGATATCCCGGACGAGCCCCCAAAATGTTGCACCCCTCAGGTTCATTGATACCAGATAGTTTCTGAAAGAACAAATAACACATCCAAGACTTGTTCACAAGAAGAAGATATGTATTCTGACATGGCGAGGCTCCTGAAGTGGGATGTGTAACATTCACAATTAGTACATCACATGGTATAGATTAGTACTTGAGTACAATCTTATTTCAACAGCATGCTGTACTAATCTTTACACAAACTTTCAACGTTTGTCTAGGGGTATTATTTGCTTAATGAAAGTTACAAGAATTCTACACCATAAAATAGAACAACTTCAACTTGCTATTATCTTAGCCTTAACCATGAACTTTGTAAACGTAATTACAAAGGCATGAAATGGTAATTAAACAAGAGATTAATTCTGGTGATTATGACATATTTATCATTACTTGAATAATAGATATGCATCAAGGCAATGCTAAATTGCATTATAACTAATTATGTAATTATAACTCTTTAAGTCATTGCAGAAATAACAATATATCAAAGGCACCATGGTCAACGTATTTACTACTGTTATGATTTATAACGAATTCATAAACAGTAACATTAATATTTGAAGATAATAACATTACATGTTATGAAACTACACATTATAATTCATAAAAAACATCCTGATTTAAGTTTGTATCTCATCTACTGAAAAGTTTCATAATCCATTCAATCTAACAAATAATGACAGTCATTTATTAAATGCATAAACAAAGCACTTTCCGGTTACGATGTTCAACCCTGAATATAATGTTCTTTGCCTTTGTAGAACCCTAATCAGTGTAAACACTGATGAGCGTAAGCAATAACTATTCAACAATCATGGGCGTGGCCATCTTGGATTTTACAATACCTCGTTTGCAGGGGAGATAACTCGATTCAGATTATCAGCTTTGGACTTGCAAGTATTTTGCTTATTAAAAACACCAATAAATCAATGAAACTTAAAATCCTTCATATTCTTTACACATATCAAACCCACTTACAGCAACTGTAATTCCTGGTTTTATCTAATAACAAATTACTGACAAGGTCGTAACCGATGACGGCGTCCGTGAAACCCGCCAATCTATCACTTACTATTTTACACCTTATTTTAGACTTTCCACATGAATACAACATATAAACATTATGTAAATATGATCCTGACAATATAACCTAATTGTAGAAATTACATTATGTTGTATAATTACCTGAAAGAACAAATAACACATCCAAGACTTGTTCACAAGAAGAAGATATGTATTCTGACATGGCGAGGCTCCTGAAGTGGGATGTGTAAACCCCGTAGATGTCTAACGTTAACTTTACCGTTAGAGTTATCACCCCTTAGAGTGATTTTATGGGCCTCCCCTTTAAAAAACAATCAACCTCTGAGTGTCATTTGTCACATGTTACATTAGCAATGGTTGTTTTGGAAGTGTTCGTCGTGTGCAACTTAACCTTCATTTCTCTGTGTTTCGCCTACACCGTATATTATATTGTTAAAACTAAAACTTGCTTGTTACATTATAAGATGGAGTGTGATGAACTGCTCGAACAACTGTTGGTGCCAGTGGGCGATGATAAGAGTGATGATAAGCGAGAGAAACTGGTGGCGTTGGCTGTTGGTGGCAAAGCCAAACATTACTTTGGAGACTACACTCCCGATAAAGTTCACAAAATGTCAGCCGAAGAAATCGATAAGCTGTACCCGAGATACGAGGCTAGACTCGGGGCCAAGATGACGAAAACTATAGGATCGGCTTTGACCCAGATATACACTGGTATTAAGGTCAGACTTCCTTCCCATTCCCAGGAACGCCGACTTTACCTGTGGGAGGACCTTGAGAAAGACCTGTTTATTGAACACGCCTTTGAGCTCTATCAGCTGCGTGCTGTACCACAAATACGGTATGTTGTTAGCCCCGGTGACGGCGGCGATTATCACGGCAAAACATTGCCAATTTAAGGAGGGGAAAAATAATAATAATAGTATAGATGGATACTGCACAGGAGGAGACCCCAACGTTGGGGGAGACCCCCACGTTGGGGAAACCCCAACTGGAGGTGAACCCTTCTACAGTCACCAGGCAGAAGAATCCTAAGAGAGTAGCTGCCGGTTGAAAAAGGTGGTGTAACCAACATAAAAGTATCACGTGGAGCCCAACTCCACTCTTGTTGATTGCAGGCGCAACTGCTGCCGTGGCTATCTCATGGTTATATACACGGCCCAGGGAGCCCAGGGAGAAACCCCCGCAATTAGAGGTAAACCCACGTATCATGTTATAAAATATATATTTTTATATCATATACATAATGTCTGAGGGGAAAACGTTCAGTCAATCCACGCATACCACGCCACCGTGGTCGCCAGTCTAGCTGTAGGGTACGGTTGACCAAAATGGTGCTTAAACAACCGACTATCAAGCTAGATTTCAACCTGCAGGATATGGGTATGCTCATAATGAACCTTGGTATGGCGATGGTACAAAGGACATCCTAGTAAAACAAGGGATACTACCTGAAAATATTATGAAGTAAATATAGGATGGCTATGATCGCCATGATGGTCGGTGGCGGGTGTTAGTAAATGCCCTGGCATTTTCGGGAGTAATTTCCTCTTCTCGAAACTACGAGAGTCACACGTGGGCTGAGATACAGGCAGAGCCGAAGCGCACGACCTTGCTGTTGAGAAATTACAAGCGGCAACAATCCGAAAGTAATGCCGAAAACGTGTTCAGAGGATCGATTACATTAACGAACAACTCAGGCGTGAGAGCCATGCTGTTAAAACATTCCACGATGTCGACGATGCAGTTAGAGAATACTACCTACCAACAGGTAAACAGCTGGAACCACTCACATAAGCCCAGACTCGCTCAGTACTACACACACCATCAAGGGCAAATGGACCGGGAACTGGTCTTTATCGGCGCTGGGTATAGCAGCCATCGCGTTAGTTGCAAAACAATTAGACTCAGTACTCATATAAGTATACCAAAAGATGAGACCTGCTCCATACCGATCTGAAATACATACTTATGGGGAAGAAAGAACCCTGTGGTAGGAGATGCAGGACTGAGGGGTACTGTTGTTTCCACATGGGAAGCCCTAACTACACGATGTTCTGTGTGTGTGGTATAGGGTGAAAGGGCACTACTGCCTATGCAGCTCCTGCAGGCCAAACGTCGCCAGACATCATCTCATCTACGAGAATAAAAGGCCTACATAAACGAACGTAGGCGCCTTCTCAGGATAAGTCCCCAATTAGAGACTGTGCACACCTAGGTATAACTATGTTTGTGGAAATTGAGCCCAGGAAAAGTATACCCACGCATCGAATCTCTGGTCAAAAACATACCTCAAAGATGAACTGAACTTATGGGGACGCTCTGATTTCAGGTCATATTGTGAAGTGGCATGGATTAAAGAGGGTGTTAGTATACTCTCCCCTTCACATGTGGGCGGGATATCACGACTCAATACCAGATAAATTGTTTTACAAGTATACAGGAATACCTGCACAACTTCAAGGAATACTATATCCACCAGTGTAGAGTTACTGGATCGAAACGCCCATCTAAGTATAGCTGATTGGGAGGCGAGGAGAGGATATGACCCCTGATTTTATGAGCTGTCTCACTATTTTTTATCAAGGTTGGTCCTGCCGGCGCCCAGTTGGAGATTGATATACTTAGGTGTGTAACGAACTGCATGACTACTATTCGAGTGAGCTCAAGCAGATCATGAGACAGAGGGGTGTAATTGGTTACTCGAATGAGGAAGCCAGCCTTGTTGCGTTTACTAGGCCTGCAAGCCCTCCCACGGCAAAACAATTAAAAGTCCAAGCAAAGAGCTTGGGTTCACGGGTTATTCCCACCTGGGAGAGCCGGGTTAGTCGCATTGTTATCACATGACCCCGAAAGCAAAACCTTCCACTGTAAAACAATTAAAAAGCCGAGGTGCGCAATTTGAGGTTTAGGGCGGATATTCCCATTATGAGGAAACCACAGCTTGTAGAACTATTACGGCAGAATAGAGCTATTGACCTACAGTTCATACCCACTGAGCTGTAGGCAACTATATGAGAGGCTGGCGCATGCATGTTGATAGCAACATAGACATCACAGATATCAAGCCTCTGATCGCTGATAAAGTCAACCAGGAACTAAACAATCTGGGAAGTATAAAAGTTTCAGATCACAGTGAAAATGTCACTCGATAAGCAGTGTGGGGAACCCCACTTTGGGAGGTCACTGAGTACGTTCAGCCTTTACTTCCTGAGGTCGGCAAAGAGGTCGTGACTCATACAGAGACCATAGACGCATCAATCGATACCAGTTTTCAGCAGATACGAGAATACCTAGAACGCTACACACACATGGGGTCCGGGTGGGTTGTTGATAAAATCGATGATGTCTATCTAGACATAGCTAACTACGTGCCGTTCAGAGGCGGGTCATACCTAGACTTGCCCCCTTACTATAAGAAAAAACAGGCCATGGTCAACGTCAAGAATAGAGGAGACGATTGCTTGAGGGTAGCTATCAGGTCAGCCTTGTTTCCAGCTGACACTAATTCGAACAGGCTTTCTAGCTATCCCCAAGACGATGGGCTCAACTGGGATGGTATAGATGAGCCCACCCCCATATCCCAGATCACTAAAATAGAAAAACAGAATGATATAGCCATAAACGTATTAGGGCACGAAGAAAACACAACAATAGTACACAGGGTCAGCCCAGTGTTGGGGAAACCCCAACTGGGGGGAGCCCACCGCGTTATCAATATATTCATGATCCAGCGAGGTGAAAAGTATCACTACATGTGGATAAAACCTCTCAGTCGGTTGTTGCACAACCAGTCGAAACACGTTGGGAAAAAACACTTTTGTGTACGATGCCTGCACGGTTTCAGCCGAGCTGATTTATTAGAATCCCACCGGGAGGATTGCCAAGGTGTGGGGCAGACGGCCATACGAGTCGACATGCCTAAGGAAGGTGACAATATCCTAAAATTCGGCAACCACAAGAACCAAATATATGTGCCTTATGTCATCTACGCCGACTTTGAAGCCTTGGTCAAACCCATTGATATTGGGGGTATCCCCACAGGCGAGAGCTTCACACACAAAACACAGGAGCATGAGGCCTGTGGGTTTGGATATGTGGTCGTCCGATGTGATGGGGAAACGAAAGCTCCCGTAGTGTATAGGGGTCCCGACGCGGCTGAAAAGTTTCTAAAGTGTTTGCAGGAGGAAGAAAAAATTATTAGGAATGCACTGTATACAGTCGCTCCCATGCGTATGACCCAAGCCGACCGGCTAGCTCACGCCTGTAGCACTAAATGCCACGTGTGTGACTCACCACTGAACGGTGATTCGGTGAGAGATCACTGCCACGTCACCGGTAAGTATAGAGGCGCCGCTCACAGCGCGTGTAACCTCAAGCTTAGAATCACCCCCAAGACAATAAACATCCCCGTGGTCTTCCACAACTTGAGAGGGTACGACTCTCACTTGATCATGCAGGCCATCGCGAAAGTCGATGGCAACCTGACGTGCATCCCCAACAACATGGAGAGATACATCTCCTTCAGCTTGAATGGCCTGAGGTTCATTGACTCGGTTCAGTTCCTCCTGTCGGTGGGTTGTTGATAAAATCGATAATGTCTATCTGGACATAGCTAACTACGTGCTGTTCAGAGGCGGGTCATACCTAGACTTGCCCCCTTACTATAAGAAAAAACAGGCCATGGTCAACGTCAAGAATAGAGGAGACGATTGCCTGAGGGTAGCTATCAGGTCAGCCTTGTTTCCAGCTGACACTAATTCGAACAGGCTTTCTAGCTATCCCCAAGACGATGGGCTCAACTGGGATGGTATAGATGAGCCCACCCCCATATCCCAGATCACTAAAATAGAAAAACAGAATGATATAGCCATAAACGTATTAGGGCACGAAGAAAACACAACAATAGTACACAGGGTCAGCCCAGTGTTGGGGAAACCCCAACTGGGGGGAGCCCACCGCGTTATCAATATATTCATGATCCAGCGAGGTGAAAAGTATCACTACACGTGGATAAAACCTCTCAGTCGGTTGTTGCACAATCAGTCGAAACACGTTGGGAAAAAACACTTTTGTGTACGATGCCTGCACGGTTTCAGCCGAGCTGATTTATTAGAATCCCACCGGGAGGATTGCCAAGGTGTGGGGCAGACGGCCGGCCATACGAGTCGACATGCCTAAGGAAGGTGACAATATCCTAAAATTCGGCAACCACAAGAACCAAATATCTGTACCTTATGTCCTCTACGCCGACTTTGAAGCCTTGGTCAAACCAGTTGATATTGGGGGTATCCCTACAGGCGAGA